GGCCCCTGCTGTGCTGGGTTCCGCCGGGGCGGCCCCAGCGCTGGGTGCCCCAGGCCGGAGCAGGGGCCGGTGCTGTAGGGTTGGCTTCTAGCCCGGGGAGCTGACTCGCCCCTCCTCTGCTTTCTCTGGAGCTGGGGCGCCTGCACGATGTGCTGGTCCGGCCTGACCACCCGGAGCTGACGGCTGAGTGCCAGGAGATCACCCAGGTGGGGCGCTGCCTCCGCCGCTGGAGCAGGCGTTGAGACAGGTGACACCCCATAACCGGCTGCTGGGCGCTGGTCTCCCTTGGGGGCTCCCCGGTGGGGTAGGCACAGGGTCATCATCCCTTTAGCCCTCCCCCCCACTGACTGGGGCAGTGGAGCCTGGCACAGAGGCACCACAGACGGTGGGCTAGGCGGCCTGCACTGTGGTGGGCTTCGGGGGGGACTTCTCCCTTGCTTTTGGCTCATTCAGCTTGGGAGGGACTGAACCCCAAGAGAGGAAGGTCTGGTCTCCTGTGGTGCTGGGCCCCGTGTCTCAGCGGCAGGGGGGGGTAGTCAGTGTTGGCAGAGGCCCTCTGAAAAGGCTGGGTGGCGGCCGGCCCTGTTACCGCGTGCGGTGGCTCATTAGTTCTGGGAAGGAGGCACAACTGAAGCCTCTAGATAAACGGGAGGTGTACGTGATTCTCATTGAGAAATTGACTGAAAGCCCGTCTCCATTCCAGCATGCTTGAGTTCCCTGTCTGAAAGGCTCTTCTGCCCCAGCACTCCCTCAGCTCTCTGCAACCAGCTTTACAGCTTATTGCAGTGCTTTTGCAAATGCTCCTGGAAAAGGAGTTCTTTTTCCTGTGATGTGGACTGTGTGTGGCCATTTCTCAGTAGAAAGAAGGGGGGAAAAAGGGTAATTTCCTTGTGAAGATAATTATTGTGAGAGTTGTCACGTGCAAGAAACAAATCCACAGAAGTGAAGGAGTAGGCTCATAGAAAAAGAAATTCCAGCTCCATGTTCCTGCTGTCCAGGAATAACATGTTACTAACTGATGACACTGCCTAGAGCAGCTGCTTTGATGTGTTTTACATGTATGTCTCTTTCTTTTTTTTTGGTTGTTGTTCCTGCTTTCAGTTTAATCAGTCCGTGAGCAATGAGCTGAACATTGGTGTAGGTACTTCCTTCTGTTTTTGTACTGATGGACAGTTGCACATTAGGCAGGTTCTGCACCCTGAAGCTTCCAAAAAGGTATGTAGTTGTAGCTTAAGCTTGACTTCTAGTGTGCTTTATATGATTTCTTGCAAAACTTATCAACTTCCCTTTAGTATGAGGCCACCTCCACACAACCATGGTACAGACGTTGCTCATGTTAACGTCTTTAGTAGACTGAAGAGTCTGTATGTGGGGAAGACACAGACAATGCCCAGTGCTTATGTATCCCTGACATACCTTTCTTCTGATTTAACAGAGACTTTCTTGAATTAAGTGTTTGGGAAAGGAGCAATGCACGGACAGAGCTCATATCTCCTACAACTGTAGGAGCTGCAGTGGGTTAACAAGTGGGAATTTGGAACTGTTGCCAAATAGTTAACCACCTTAATCATAAAATGCCTTTTGACGTTTTACATTTAACTTTAGTTGTAGCAAGTTTCAATCTTTGTGTATGTGGTTGATGCTCTGAGGGCGGTGCCCTTATTTCTAAGGGGCTGAACAGTAGTTAGAGGCAGGCTATGAGTAAGGACTAGTCCCATAGTCTAGAGTTCTCTATAACTTTAGAGTTGCCAAATCGCTAACAGTGTTACGAGGTCATAACTACTTTTAATTGATAGTTGCAGCAATATGCCAAGTCTTTAGTCCTGAAATAACTGCATCAATATTAATAACATCTCATTTTGTGGTTTGCTATGAAAATGCATTGCTCTAACTGAGCTGTTCTGCTCCTCTCATGGCAACTGATCTCTGTGCCCATCAATTTGCTCCTTCATCTTTGAAGGAGCACTGACGCACCGTTACAAAAGTGATATTGGAAGAGTTTGCTTTTAATACCTGTTGGTCCTCTAAGTATTTATAACTTTGAAGTTTTAGAAGAGAAACAGTGGGCATGATTCATAGTGAAGGGACAATCCTTATTTTTTTAATATATACGTGTGTGTATATATATGTAACTTGTCTTAGGGTATAATGTGAGAAAATTGGGAAACAGGTTTTTAACAGATTTTTCTGGTCACTGGTAATGTGTATGTGTGTTAACTGCAATGAAGGATTAACTGTATAAATTATGTTGATAAAAGAAGGGACAACTCTCACAACTTTTAAATTTGTTTGGTGTTGGGGATAGACACCTTTTTTCTATATCGTCACAGGTAGGAATCAAATCTTCATCAAAATTTTCTGTTGCTGTTTTGTTAAGAACTAGTCACTTGAAATCTGCCCTGTGCTGCCTATAGATTAAGCAAACCAGATACTTAGGAGACCTGCAATAGTTCTTTGAACACCCTAATCCTGAGGTTGGGGGATCACTGAAATCTGGACTGGAGGAAATAGCTAGGCTAGACTGAAGTACATCTTTATTTCTAAGATGCCCAGTCTGAACCAATCTAGCAGCTCAGTATTCAGAGAATGAATTGGCATCAACTGTTCGAACTGAATGTTAGCAAAGTACAGAACTTGATCTCTCATGGAGGAAGAAAAGTAGCCATGCTAAAACTAGAGCAGGAAATCTTGGCAAGCACACCTGCATTTTCATAAGTTTGTCTGTATGCTAAGATAAGCTCTAATGTTCTCAAAGCAGAACTTGTTTTAATTCTTTAAACTTTAGCACTAAACTTCTTTCTTTGGGCCCCCTAAATGTGCTTTCGCATATCTTGTCATTCTGTTATGACGCCAAGATGCTAACTAGTCGTTAAGTCCCAGAAAGCCCTTACTTCTGGGCTAGAGAGGCATTGCAGGCAACAAACAGCCAAGTGGAATACTACTATTGTGTCTGTGGGGAAGCTCTGGGGTGAAGACCTAACTGAAAGACTAGGGGTTTGTGTTGGTTTAAATAGCTTCCCCCAGTCGTCTTCATGCCTTCTTCACACTCCCAAAACAATGAAAAGTATGTAGTGGGACTAAAAGGGTTTTGCTGACTCCCAGTGGGCTACATAATTTGCTCCTGGCTTCATATGCTGCAATTAAAGGAGTTACTACACATAGATTGACAACCTCTGTACCATAGCAAACCCTCATCTGCTCACAGTGGGTGTGTTGTTGTTCTTTTTTATTCCCTTAAATATATATATATGAAGTGTGACCATTCTCTGAAAACTCAGCCTTGTCTATAAACCAAAAAGCCTTCTGCTAGTCTTGCAAGATTTGCTTGGCTCTATGAACTGAGTGCCCTCTGGCTTTTCACAGTTAAACCTGGAATCAAGAATTGATGATAAATGTTGCGATAGCAGGCACTTGCCCTCCTACATATATATTGGATTTGAGGCACTAGTAATAATAGCAAATGTTTGGCAGTGAAAAAACGCATTTCTGTCTTTTTTTTTTAAGCCACATAGAGGAAGCTGCTTAAGCAAAAATTTTATAGAGGTGCTTATGTGGTCTACGAGCAGCTCTGAGTTTCTCTGTAGCAAAGGCTGTTTGTGTTTCCTACCCATTGTAAGGAAATTGTTAATGTTTGGTATCTAAAAACAAAGTAGATGAAACTCACCCTAGCTGACAGTAATTATTTTGTCCTTTTACAGAACGTCTTATTGCCCGAGTGCTTCTACTCCTTCTTTGACTTGCGGAAAGAGTTCAGGAAGTGTTGCCCTGGCTCACCTGACGTTAGCAAACTCGATGTCGCGGCCATGACAGAACGTATCCTTTCAACAGCGGTGGTGCCTACTGCTGTTACGGCTTTGGCTGGATTTTAGGACAGATGTCTGAATAATGCTTACAACACATGTTTAGGGGTGGTATAACTTTAATGTGTGACTTGGAGGTGTACTGAGCTTTCTCACAAAGATAAAAACATATGAGGATGCATGTTCCCATGGGGAAAATGCTGTATTTCTTGATTTCTGTACATTTTCTTCACTACCTTTTATAGCTTGGTGCCTTTAAACTTCACGGTTTAGTGTAACTAGCACATTTGTTCAAACTGCTACATGAATCCTAACATTAAGTTATGAGGTTGCATCAGTTAGATACTTTTTAATTATTTCTAGTTAAGAGTGAGTGTTGGGAGACCATCTTAATTTTTAGGAGGGGGAATGGTTATGGATGTCAGCTTTGATCAGGAGTGAACCCAAGGCAGGGAAGCTGTTGGCACGTTACACCTAGCAAGGTGAGGCTGGGCTGGCAATAAGATGCAGTTGGTAATGTGTTTCTATTTTCAGTGCTAGGGATGTCTGAAATTACTTCCTGAATAGTCTTAAGTGGCCTGTAACCTAGTACTGTCTGGCTTTTAGCTAGTCTTAGTTTGGTTTTGTTTGTATGCCATGTACAATTACCAGAGCCAAAACTGGGGCTGTGCATGATTTGGCTGTATCTTCCTCTGTGCTTCCCTGGCAGGTTCAGCTCTTGCTGCTGGCTCCAGTCCTTCCCTCACATACTCTGACACGGAAAACACTTGACTTCCCTACTGACCTGTTGAAGCAGTGGCCACAAAAGCTAGCAAGCAAAGAGGGATAAGGGAATTGGAGAGTATTTTAACAATACTTTTATTGGTGGCGGTTGTTTTTTAATACTTTTTTCCTCTGACTATCTTATTGTGTCCATAGGGTGGTTGCAATTAAGAGATGGTATTTTTCAGGTTCAAAAGCTTGTGACTTCTGAATTATTTTGGCCTTTCACTGCAGGACTAGTGTTGTCTGGGCTTTGTACTTGTGTTGGCATTCATAAAATATCCATGTATGCATGGGGGGTTTTTGTGTTTAACCACAGGCTTGAATACTGGATGCTTGAATATTGTATACTCTGCTTTGCCATCTGCCAGTTAAGATTAAACTTCCCTAGTGAAGGGGCAGAAATCACTTCTCCCTATACTCTGGAGCAAAGTGGTCCACTTAAATGTAGGAGTGGATTTTTCTGTAGAAAAGTGAATTAAGTGCTTACGTTGTAAAGTTTAGAAGCTGGATGGTGGAGACTTCTTGAAGTTATGGATAAAAACTTAATACTTTGTTTAGGGATGCTTTGACATGAGCTGGAGAAGTTAATTAAAGAGTGAGCTACTTTGGTTGCTTTGGAGAGATACCTTTGCTTTCTCCTCCTGTAAATATCTGGAGTACATCTTGCCACTGTGGAAATGGGCACATCTGGAGTGTCGCTGGTCAGCTAAGGCACAGTGATGCTGTAGTGCCCATCTGCTGGGAGAAGAGAGCAGAACATGCTGCCTCACCTGACTGTCAGGGAGCCCCTGAAGAGTCAATACCATCTGAGGGTGGTTTTGGCAGTTGCATATAGCATTTTCTCCAGGTTCCTAGAGGCTTGGTCGCTCTATTCAAATGCTGTCAGCTTGAGTCTGTAATCTGGGCCTTCTGATATGCTTCTTAAGGTATATAAACCAAAATAACTTCATTCTGGCTTTATATTAGTCTTTGTGGTTTGTCTTGTTTTGTAACTGCTGATGCTTTTATTTGTAAACTTGCTATGTTTATGCAACATGGCTGAAATTAACTGTCTCTGCCCTATATTGCTTGAGAGTGGTGGGGGTAGAGGATGCAGAGACTAAAACATTAAAGTAACTTTTTGGTTTTCCTTTTATTGACAAATATGGTAGTTTTCTTTCTCCTCACCTTGTTGAAATGTATGAACTTAATCTCCCCAGTGTCAGAAGCTGTGTAAATTAATTGGACTTGGAGAGTCTGGGCATGCTTGTAAATCTTGGGATTAAAAAAAAAAAAAAGTTGAAGCAGGTGCTAAGTCTAAAGACTGTTTCAAACAGTTTTATACAGAGATTTTTTTTCCCCCCTTCATGTAAGCAGGTCAGTTACTGTCTTCTGCAGAGTTATGTAGTAAAGGAAATGCCTGAATGAAAAGTAACTTGGATTTGAAATGGGTATGCTGGGGCAGGGGACACAAAAATTAAACAGATGGAGTGGGTTGAAATGAAGTTGCAGGTTAGTGCACAGAATCTGACCAAGCTCTTGTTATTGTTCTAGAAAGTACATATCTGCCACCCCCACTTAAAGGGGCTGCATGAGAGGAATCTTCCATGATTTGTGCCACACAGACTACATTGGGCCAGGTTCCCCAATTACTGTTTGGTGGGGACAGAAGATTTTTGTTTAGGGGTTGGGCACTGACTAGAGATGCAGAAGACCTGCATTTACGAACTGGTAGGAGCAGTAGTAGATGATTTTTGGGCACATCCCTTCATGTACTTACATCTCCATTTACCTGTGTGTAAAATGGTTGTGATCAGTGAGAGGAAACTGTGATATGTAAGAGTTGGGGGAAAGCTGGGTAGTATTGTACAGTCGTTTAAATTATTAGGAGTCTTCAAAAAGCTTTTATTTTGATGGGTAACGTTTGATTAAACAAGTTACAGGCAAATGGAGAATGTATTCTGTTGTTCCTGGGGGGTATCTTGAATGACTGTACAGTGGAAGTCATATATACCAGTGGATGTACATACTGGATAGTTGGTGCTTGGCTATGTATTTCTTACTGACAAAAAAAGCACAGTCTTGAAAAAGAGCATAGGGATATTAAACCAAATAATTGGCTGGGTTATTCTTGCTTTAGAAAGTACTTTTGAGGCTTAGTCTTTCAGCAAACCACTTGAAATTGTGTACAGCAATGAAACCATTCTGAATTCAAGAGCTCAGGTGAAAGCTTTACATTTCTCCCCTCCCTGGACCCCCTCTCCCCTCCAAGAAACTATAGATTTCATGTACAAACTGCCACTGATTTCTTCTGATGCAAGGTAAGGAAATGTTTAAAATACCATGGAATTTGAGAGACCGAGGAGGAACAGAGACTAGTTGTAGCTGTTGTCTCCAGGTGCTACTGCTGCTAACTTACGGTCTCAAAGTTTTTGATGTAGGAGTCTTTTGGCAGACTTTAGTCAGTATTGTGTAAGAGTAGCGACAGCAGGACAATTATGAGAAATTTCAAGTAACCAAAAACTTGAGAGAAGCGATCGTGTTCCGGCAGAGAAAGGAACTCGGGTCTGTCGAAATCCTTTTTTTTTTTTTTAACATGTGTTAAGTATGCAAAAGGAGCAGGGTTGTTCTTGCACCCTCTGTACCTCCCATACTTGCTGCTCTTCTTGATTTGCAAAGCTTGCTGAGCTAGTTTTCACCGCTGTGAGTGCCTTCAGGGTGGAGTGAACAAAGCTTGCATAACTATTCCTATTCGGTCTCCAGAAGACTCATCCTTTGCCTCAAGATTGGGTGTGCAGAAGCCATTACATGGCATATAGCTCCTGCTTCCTCCGGAGCGTGGTTTGCTCCACTCCTGAACTGGGTTTGTGAGGATAACTCCTTGCTAGGAGTATCTGGTGGGTGTTGTCAGTAGAAATGCAGGCGTACCTCGGAGCAGCCTGCTTAATGTGCTGGATACAAAGATCCAGAGGATACTGCAATACTGAAACTTGTTTGCTTTTTGTGTGGGGTGGTTTTTTTTGGCATGGGTGTCTTAAACAATGATGTGGAGCAGAGTTATAACCAATAGTACTGAACTCTGGCAATAAAAAGCACATTATTTGGTATTACTTGAGAATCTTGCATATTGCTATTTGCATTTCCTGTAATAATACCTAAGAACTGGGTAACATCAGATGACCTTTACACAAAGTAGTATTTAAAGTTATGTAATCTGCCTGAAGAGATTTAAAAACAGAACAGAAGGGGAAGAGGACTAGTGCAGAACACAGTTGCAATACTAGTTCATGTCACGTCATCTCAGAGCTAAATTGGTGGTTCAGTGTTTCTTTTGCCATAGTTATGAAGAGCGTTGAGACTGAGAAAAGGAAGTCCAGTGGGAGGGAAGAAGTCTTGGAGGGTGCTGGCAGTGGGTAAAGCTGTGGGGATGAATCTGAGGAAATAGTTAAATGGTTTACAATCTTCTCCCATGCTGTATAGGCAGCTCTCATGTAGAACTCTCCGCCCCCTTTACTCATTTGCTGAGTGGTGCAGAAGGTGGTACTGCAGCTGCACAGCAAGGTTAAGAAGTTCCTGGTTTCCCATTCTTCCTTATTATTTGGGTGCAACTTTTGCCTGTTGCTTCACTTAAAATTTACGTGTGCATGCTGTTGTATATACTACCTTTAGACAGCCAGGTGTGTTTTCTAATGTGTCTTTAAATGGAAACTTCGTTCTGCTGCAATCAACTCTTTCTCAGTGCCCAGGAGAGGCACCTTCAAATATCACTGCACATGTGTGTGGTCTCCTATCCTTTCACAGAAAAAAGGATGTCTTTTAAAAACTCTTCCTTTTAACAGCTTTTTCTTAAGTGTCCATAACTTCTAGTGCCTCTGCTCATAGGAGTCCATCTATATGTAGGCAGTCCTGTTCATTAGAATTCTGGTTTTTAATTAGTTAATAGTGTTATGCTCCTTTTACATGTGCGGAAAGCTATCAATTTTCTTCTCCAATCTTGCCTAAAAGCCTTGCTTCTAGCTAATCAGAGGCGAAGGTGTGAGCGATTTCTCACTCCTACTAATGTTGATGACTTTCTTCCTCCCCTCCCACTGTGTTTATATTAATGTAGAGCTTCTTGGCACAACTGACTCCCTGTGTCTGAACACCTGGTACCAACCTCTGTTGCCATTAGGGCGTTTTTAGGGATTGTATCTCCTGTTGATTGCTCTCTTTCAATGAAATAGTTTTCTTCAGAAAACAGACATGGGGTGGGGAGTTGTTGGGGTTTTTTTCCCTTGTGCTATAGCCTTGCTTTAAATTCCCAGCTCCTTCACGCTGCTGCGTTCCCCTCTGGCGGCTGATCGCTTGTGAGGATTCTTGGCTCTGCAAATGGGAAATATTGAGATGTCTCTTTGGTTTTGACGGTGCAGTCTAGCAGCCAAGAGCATGTGTGCGCACATGTGGATGCATGTCCCCTGCCGTAATAGCTAGTGAAACTCCTGCCCAATTTCTCTTGACTTTGACAGAGGAAAGAGAACGTTTCCAAAATCTTCACAAAAATAGTCAGGTGAGACCAGGGTTCCAAGACCTGCATCTTCAGCAGCTCCCTGGATGGGCAGCAGTGTGCATGTGCAGTGCGGAGCTCTTGGATGCTGCAGGGTGGAGGGAGTCAGGAAAAGGAGGAGAAGCTCTCTACTTGGATATACGAGGTGCCCAGAAACATGCGTGGTGCTGATGAAGCACCCTCACTGCCAGGGAGTCTGTGTGAGGGTTACTTTGTTTTCACACCCCCTTCCCCAGGGGGCAGGGAAGGAGACAAGCTTGAGTGTACAGCTTAAGAAGAAATACTGCAGTGAAGTTTTTTGTCATAAACAACGCCAATAGTCTCTTTAAATTGTGCCTTAGGGTCGTTGCATGTGGTTTGTTTAGGATTTTTAGCTTGTTTCTGGAGAAAACCATTTAATGTTCTCAGTTCTTTATTCCCAAAAGGGTACCAGGAGAGATGGTAATGGCAATGGCTAGCAAACTGTAGCTAGTCAAGCAGTTAGAGGAGAGGGATCACTGGTTTAAGTTTTCTTTTTTACTTAGTCTTACAAAAACATTTTGAAGTTTAAGCACCAGCCTCTCCATAGTCCAATGCACACTTAAAAGCAACAAAGCCTCAAAATCCAATTAGCCTCAGTGTATTGTGTTGGCACAGCAGCTTTCCTTGCTGTAGAAGAGGAGTTCATTAATTCAGTTGAAATTATTTTTCATCTCGCAACAAGATAACAGTTAAACTTCAAAAACAGTTTAAAAAAAATCTGTTTTGTAGGAGTGACTTGCAGTCATCCACAAATAATAGGGAAGATGTTATTCCATAATGAAATTTGTGCTGCCTCCCCTGTTGATGAGATGATGGGACAAAGCTGGTGTGTGGTGTCTGTTTCTAACAGAAGCTGTTTTCCTGTTCCCTGCCCTTCACATAGGCATCTGCCAACTCAAAGATGTGCTCAGCCCTAGGGGGAGAAAACTTTTCTTTGGAGAGGAACCTTGCTATCTTGGACTGAGAAGAAACTTCTGACTACCAAAATTTAGACTCTTTAGAGCACTTGAAATGGGTCTAATGTAGTTTTGTGGGCAAATAATTGATGAATTTGAGAGCTTTGAATGTCTTGCATTACTGTATTGCCACAGTCTTGTTTAAGAATTGCCATGGTTGTAAACTCTTTCAATTTTACTTTAAAGTCTTGATGCAAATTGATGAAAGGTCATAAAAGCAAGTTCTATTTCCAGGCTGCTTTATATTTCACTTCTTGTTCTGTATGTGTGTGTGGTTTTTTACCCTACACTCATGAAAGAAGGAGATGTGAGGAAAAGACCTTTTTAAAAATTTGCTTTATAAATGATGGAGAATTGCAAGTAACCTTGCAGCCCTGTAGCTTGGTGTTAGAGAAAGGCAAATAAGACAGGGAGGGGGACAGATACCATAGTAAACTCTGTTTAAAATGTTGTGAAAAAATGTTGTGTGCAACTTTAATTAGACTCCCTTTATGAACATGGGTTTTTTTTTTAATCTAGTCATTCTGCAGCCTGTCTTTCCAGGACAGAACATTTCCTGTTCACTGTTGGCAGGAGAGCTTATCCTTGCTATCTATCACCTTCCAAAATCCTTCAGACTGAAGAAGATGGGTTGTAGGACTCTGTTTTTTGTCTCTTGGTTATCCACAGTGGTGCATTCTCGCCAGATTCTCAGAATGCCTCTGCGTAACAGCAAAAAACCTCAGGTTGTAACTTCTAATAGGCAAGGTTTAGATGAGATGCCACTTGTGAATTTTGTCAAAGTGGTGACTAAGACATTCTACTTTGGGATTTACTTGTTCAGAAAGCATGTGATGTATCCTCCTATTTCTGGAGCTTCTCCTTGGTTTGCTTCTCCTTCCCTGAATCTTCCCCTAGAGATTAAAGATCTTAATTAAAGACGACAGGACTCCAGTCTCCTCCGCATGCAAAAGTGTATCTGTCTGTCAAGTATACATAATACATGAGTATATTAAATATATATGTCCTTATTATGGGGTCTCATGTCCCAAGACACTTTCTGGAGTGACCTCATGCTCCCGCAGGTGGCAATGGTTAGAGACCAAGGCAGAACAGCTAATGTATCCCAGCAGGAAAATTAATTAAATCTTCCCTTGAGAAGTGGCTTACCGTCGAGGATAACATGAAAGCTTGCTGCTCTAGCAGGAAGTCAATTAGAAATCTGTTTGGTGATGATGGACTTAACTCTAGCATAAAGATTTAAATCTTGACAAGAACAGTCCAGCGTTTCCTTATGGAGTCTCCCAAGTTGAAGATATGGGGCATATTATTTTAACACTAATATCTGAACCATACAGTAAGTGATGGTGATGAATGAGTTTTCTATATTGCTTGCTTGGTTTGTTTTCATGTCTCTTGTATGCTGATGAAGAAGAAAATAACTTGGGCTGTATTTCATAGATCACAGGTTTTCAGATCCAGAAAGAGTGAACTACAAATTTGAAAGTGGGCCTTGGTAAGTACCTTCTTCCTCTTCTTGCTGTGCCCCCCCCCTTTCTTTTTTTGCAAAATATCATGCGCATAACCTGTACTTATCTGTGTTCCTCACTTGCTAAGAGCTGTTACCATTGTTTTTATTTATTTTGCCACTGCTGTGGGAATAAATTAAGTCCTTTAAGTAGCAAAGGGAACAGATGTTTTATGATTCTGTGATCAAATGCAAGCCAGTTTTCCTGTTAGGCTTCAGTGTTGCTTGCTAGCTGCTGGAATTTCTGGATTCTGCTAATAAGTGCTTATAATAGGTGTTAAGTGTGCTGTGCTATTAACAAAGAACGTAAGCCTTTTTGCAAAGTAACCCCGTTGGTACTAACTTTTCCTGCAATTTGCTTCGCACTTACTGAAGATGCATAATGATCCTTTTTTTTTTTTATAAGGAAGAAACATTTCCATAAAGATACTGTGCCAAAGATACCCTGCTACCAGTAAATTGCTTAAGCTATGATGATTGTCATCTTCCCAAATACATTTCACACAAAGCTTTATCTACTTTTTTTTTACTGTGTGGGATGTCTTGGGTTTTTTTAATGTAATCATGCTTTTATTTGCGCAAATACAGATTTTTTTTTTTTTTTCTCTCAGTGGTTTGCTGGGTACTCCCTCTGCAGTATCACAAGAGTGGTGTCAATCTGACCTTATTCAAATTCCTGTTTTGCATGAATACTTACTTCCCCCTTCCAGATTAAGGAACTGTCATAATGGTAGGCGATGCTGGCACTTCTGAGCCAAAAGAAGCAAGGAATGCAATGATATTGGCAGAAAGTATCCAGTGAGATTAGTTCAGGGCTATGTTTTGGTATTGTTTTAAGCTTTTTCCCTTTCACTAACAAAATTCTGGGATGAAGTGGAAGATTCCCATCTATTTGTGATAGTGAGAAGTACAGAATTAGGAGACAACAGTTAGGGACTGCAGAAAGTCCACCTGAGAGATTAAAATATAAGTGAGAAACATAACCCTCCCACAACAGGGCATACCATAGCCTTTTTGTACGAGGGAGTCCTCTGCTGCTGAACACCATTTAATCGGTTTAATCAATCCCATAGTCTCTTCTGTGTAAAAACCTGTCCCTGCAATAGCCAGAAAGGCAGCCTTGGGTAGCTGTAAGTGTTTTGTTCTACATGGCAGTTTTAACATGTAAGAGAACAAAAGAGACTGTGGTAATGACCAATTAAACCTGGTGTTCTGCTGCTGAGCTATTCCCATGCTAAGCAGCCAATGTAGCCTGTAGCTATATTAGTCTCTAGTAGCACCGTGATGGCCTGAACAAGCAATGTGAAAGCTGAGCTCTTTGGGCAGGAGTCCTCTGTGTGCTGAGCATAAACCTGAACAGATTTGGTCTTGGCTTATGATTAGACTAGAACAGCAAGTTTAATTTCATACTGGTAACCCTGTTCAGACAGCGGAAAAACACAAACCATTAGTATGTGAAGAATAAATTGGAAATGTGCTCAGTGAGAAGAGCTCAAGGAACAAATGTGGAGAAGCAGGGAAGGGGAAGCTTTACAGAGCAGATGTTCCCTGAGGAGAGACCTGGGCAGAGGCCTTAGATGCTTTTGGCTCTTAGCCCTCGCTGCCCTGGCAGAGCAGGGACAGAAGCCCGTCCCAGGAGCACAGGTGACAATGGGGTGTGGTGGATACTAGAGACAGATGTCTCTGCATTATTCCCTCTTTCTGTGCCTGCAGCAGCAAGATGGAACTTGTGGATGACAATGCTGTTATCAGAGCAAGAGGATTGCCGTGGCAGTCGTCTGACCAGGACATAGCAAGATTCTTCAAAGGCCTAAATATCGCCAAGTTAGTAGCTAAGAATTTACCTCTACATTTGTAGTACTTTGTCTCCATCAGTTGGTTTTATCTCTTTTTTTAATTTAAAACCTTCAGGGGAGGTGCTGCACTCTGTCTCAATGCCCAAGGTCGAAGGAATGGGGAGGCTCTCGTGAGGTTCGTAAGTGAAGAACATAGAGATCTGGCGCTGCAAAGGCACAAGCATCACATGGGGAATCGATACATTGAGGTGTGTGACGCTGGCTCCGAAATCCTCCTCTCAACAGGAGTGCAAACAGCATGCCAATCACGTGGTCTCTTTTCTTTCCTTAGGTATACAAGGCAACAGGTGAAGACTTCCTTAAAATTGCAGGAGGTAATTTTTAGGGAGGGAGAAGGGAGGGTTTCTTCCATCAGCACCTGGAACATCTGGCTGTAAAATGCTCCTGTTGGATGTGGCCTTTCATTTTCTTTCTTTGAACAAGTAGTTGGCTGGTGTGTTGATTACTATGTACTCTGCTAGCAGCAGTCCAAGACGTTCTGTGATTTATCTGTCCATCTTTCTTCTCCACATTCTTGCTGTTTTCAAGCAGCCTGTCGAATAATGATTTGATCAGGCAAGGTGATCTTGCATAGGAACTTAATTTGTTAGGTTGCCTTCTTAACTGGAGGGACCTAAATGTTATTTATTGCTGAAAAACAAAACTAGAGTAGTTTTTCAAAACAATGACTGCTGTTGCTGTGGAGACTTGCACGTAAAAGCAAACAGATATCACAGTGTAAACAACAAGGGATTTACGGAACTGACTTTCTTCACATCTTTGCTTCAGACTAAAGGCGGAATGCTTATTTAAGGGGAATATTGAAATATTTGCAGCCTTGAATTGAAAGGCTGCAAACCTTGCTCTACAAACTCTCCTTCTTTCCCTCCCCTTTATGATTGCAAGAATTTGAGTTAAGATGCAATAAGGTGTTATGCATCTAGAATACTACCTTAATGTCCTTGTTGGTTCCTGGCAGAGATTTGGTCTGGGGATTGTAACTGGGTGTTTGAAGTTGAGGTTTTAGAGTGAGAGAGGCTATTAAGCTGTCAAATATATAAGTAATTGATAGGCTTGGTAATAGTTATACCGTTCAGGTTAAAGACATTGCATGCTGACAGTGGGGAAAAATAGTGCGTGTTAGAAATGGTGAGTGTCTGGTACCACCCAACTTTCTTGCAGAATGAGCTGTCTTCAAGCAAAAGGACCATATTAAGATGTGAAGCTGGCTAGCAGCTAGTGTTATGAGCATCAGTGGTCTTCTGGAGGTATTGAAAGTAGAATTGGCAGACTTTGACAGTTTTATCAGGATAGGATGAAATTCCTGAGCTGTTTTCAACATGCCCTTCCAACTTTCTTTACCAGCACAATGGTCTGGATACTTGGTTACTATATATTATGGCTTCAGAGCATGCCGAAGGTGTTAAGTTAGAAAGGAGAGGTGCACAGTAGCACAGATACTGCTCGTGCAAGAGATTCACAGACTGTACTTTCTTTGGGCTCTGAACATTGTAAGTACTTTCTCTTTCCCCTTTGAATAAGGATGAATCTCTTCCAAATGATGGAGTAACACCGTTAGTCTTTAATGGGAAGTGTCCTATACAATATTTCTAGTTTATCAAAGTGGGACTTTGGAGGCAAATGTTGTTCTACCTACTCAAAAAATAACTCTGGGGAGGAGGTAGCTGTGCCAGACTTGCTCATGATTTTATGTGGCTGTCTAAACTTAAGTGCTTCTGTATTTCTTTTTGTTTAAGGCACTTCCAACGAGGTTGCCCAGTTCTTGTCGAAAGAAAACCAAGTGATTGTCAGGATGAGAGGTCTTCCTTTCAATGTAACAACAGAAGATGTGCTGACATTCTTTGGCCAGCACTGCCCTGTAACAGGAGGAAAGGAGGGAATCCTGTTTGTCACATACCCTGACAGCAGGCCAACAGGGGATGCCTTTGTGTTGTTTGCTTGTGAAGAATATGCACAAAATGCACTAAAAAAGCATAAGGACTTGCTGGGGAAAAGGTACATTGAACTCTTCAGGAGCACTGCTGGTGGGTGCAAAGCTTACAAACATTGGCTTCTTGTATGCCAATGTAGGAGTTTGGATTAAAGGAGTGGAAGCAAATACTGCTTGGCCACCACTTGAAAGCTGCTTTTCTCTCCTCTCACACTTGACTGTTGCTGGAAAGAGTATTGTCTGAATTTCCATCAAGATTTGCTCCCTCTGAATGTAAGATCTTACGGTATGTGGATGTTCTCCATTGTATATATGAACTTTTGGGGGTTTGGCTTCAAGTAGCCTTGCAAACAGCACTTACAGCAGGAAGTTTGTGTGGGTCTAGTGCTTTGCACTGCTGATACTGAATTTGTCTAAGTCCAATGATGGTCCATTCCTGAGCAATGTTAGCAGCAAGGCTTGATCTCAGGCAATAAGCCTGACTCAGTGACTAAAGATAATTTAGTCACTGACAACTACATCAAAAGACTGTTTTTCTGTGCCAGTGTAGTAGTAGTTGATGTAGTTGTCTGCAGAGCAATGAATCTGCAGGTCTCAGCCATCTTCCAGCACTGGCCACCTAGCAGAGGCGTGTAGGACACTGTGAAACTGGGCCTAAAGAGTGTCCCCTCTTGCAGTAACATGGCTTGAGGGTTCATTAATTGCACTTGTGCTGCCAGAGAAAGGAAGTCAGGCTGAGAGGACTCTGTCTGCATGTCTCCAAAGATTCGTAGAGCTTCAGCTGAGGTCACTAACTCCTAAACATGATTCTAAAAGGTCTCATCTAAGATGCAAATTATGGCTAACCGATAACCATGTCACTGTAACCAAGCAATGGTGCAGCTCTGATCCTCCAAATATGTAGAGAGTTCAGTGCCTCCTTTGAAGGGTGACGCTAATGATGAGAAGCATAGCTGCAAACACTCCCCCTTGTCACTGTATTCTTCTCAAGTGCTCTCATAAGTTTTTGTTTAGCAAAAAAACTTCTGATACCTATATATACACATTATAAACGTAAATGATTCCTGGTCTTGCTCAGAAAGTTAAAAGATGATTGAATATTCAGTGAACTTTTGACCAGGCGGTGTTTTTACTGTTAAAAATAGTAACAAGAAATCTCAGGGCGTGACTCTCTCACAGATACTGTGACTCAGTTACACCACCTATGTTACTTGACAGACTATTGCATGTCAAGTCCAGGCTGTTTGGGAGTGAAATACGCTTCTAGTTCCCAGACTCTCCTAAAATTTTGCAGAGGATGTGTTTTGGGGCAGGTGTAACCCTGTAGATGGTAGAATGTTTTGGGATATTTTCTCAATAAAATTACTATAGAAATACAGTATGTATGTTCTAAGAGGTCTTCTGAGAGTTTTATAACTGCTCAAGTAAGGTCTCCAAAAACTATTTTTTCAAAAAAAGAATTATCCAAAGATTTTTTTTTTCTTTAAAACACCTGAATTGTAAGCACTGCTGCTGTGGTTTAAGTCCAGAATCTAGCTCACCTGTTTCTTAAAATACTGACCAGAGTGAAAACGGATGGCATTGGTGTTAGATTCAGTTCCCCTGAGTTGAAGAATTACTAAGGAGGCTTTCTGTAACCTCCTTTTCTTTTGTTTTGCACAGGTGCTGAACAGGTACTCTTCCACACCTCTCATTCCTCTCCCAACACCTCCTATTCTTCCAGTATTACCTCAACAATTTGTGCCTCCCACTAATGTCAGAGACTGCATACGTTTACGTGGTCTTCCCTATGCTGCTACTATAGAGGACATTCTGGAGTTCTTGGGGGAGTTTTCGACAGACATTCGGACCCATGGGGTTCACATGGTACTAAATCACCAGGTTGGTAGGCATGGTGCTCCTGGCCAGGCTGTGCCAGCCACCTGTATGTGTGAACACAGTCCTTGTGGTGATATCAATAGGGCAGCACCTTTGGGACTGATGCTAATGACTTTAATTACTCGCTAGCTTTCCTTTAAAAGTGTGTGGCAATAAATGGGGGTTGGCTTATTTGAACTCTGCTACTGCATTTGCGGTAGAGTGGTTTCTGTTATGGAAACCCATATGCCTAAAGCTAAGCCACCTTGTAAGCCAAGTATTGGAGGGGTTGGTGCTCCCAGAGCAGCAGGTGATCCTGCTCTGTAGGAAGCTTGAACTGAAGAGTCCAGCTCAACAGCATGCATAATCCCTCTTGTACCAGAGTATCTTCCTAACAAAAGTGAGCAGTTTTAGCTCTCAAAGGAGTGGTTTGCCCCTGCTTTTCTGAACAATGTGCCTCAGGTATGTTTGAGGACAAATGTTACTGCGGCCTTTTAGAGACAGGATTTCCTATGGCATGTCAGCAGCCCAAGTTTTAAGTTTCCTGAACTGTGTCGTTGCTTTCTTTTAACAGTCACAGCTAAGCACCGAAATTAACAGCTCATTCACATGTATAAACAGTCATATCTTGACCATTGTTATCTGGAAGCAGTTTCTACGAAAACCTTTTAAACAAAGCTTTGGGTGTGTTGTGATCACCTTCCATATTCCTAGTCTTGTGACTTCAGGGAGAAGAGGTGCATCTTATCTCAACCTGTGGAGAGGCCCTGAGTGGTTGCACTGATTACACTAATTATTGTGGTATAAGAATGGTTCTTCTAAAATGGCTTTAGTTGACACTAAGCCTGAGCTGAAACTACAGAATGCTTCCCTGTCCTGCAGTAGGGCTTCTATGTTCTGGGGGTGTGGGGAGAGAGAAGGGCCTACAGTTATTCCCGTACTTCTGTATTTAGAGAGATTCCTGTGTTTGTGAGGACTTGATCTGGTTGAAAAACTACAAGGAATATGCAGGGTGGGGGTAGGCTAAGAAAAGATGTTAAAGCACTAGTAATGCCTTACAGTAGTATCAGCCCTTGCCAGCAGTAACAAAAGAACCTGGAGGAGGAAATTGAAGTGGGTATAGTCCTGAGGGCTACTTGCCACCCCTGCCCAAAACTGTCACTTTTTTTTTTCCCCAGATGACTAGATTTTTATCTTTCTGCATGCTTTTTCTACTCTCACCATTTCTTGTTTCAACCCTCTAATCTTGAACAACTGTGTAAAGGATAGTGATGAAGTTGTTCTTCCCTCTGAAACTAGAAGAACTGGCCCAGAACTAAAGTTAGAGCTGGCTTTAGATCTCTGCCTCAGGTTTTGGTTACTTCAAGTCAGCCGCTGTGGCTGAAACGCCTGCTCTCAGTTACGTATTCCACTCACTTATAGCTGTATACAAGTAAGTCACTTTTTCTCCACAAGCTCATACCAAGCCTTAGGCTAGTACCCTCCTAAAACATCCCAGTTCATATTAGCCTTAACATAAAATTAAAAAAAAATAATTTAATATTTGGTACTTGACTGGACTTATCCTTGAATTTTTAAAATAATGGATAATAAATGTGGATTAGATCTTCCAGTTCTGCGTTGCTACTGAGTAGGTGCTTTGAGACCTGCTCTTAGCGAAGTCCCCTCAAATTGTAGTCTCTCCCATAGGTGTCTTTTTTTTTAAAAAAAAAAAGCATACAAGTAACATGGCTCCACTTATAATATAGCTTAATTGAAACAGATAAATACATCAAGTTACGTGAGTTGGAAGAGTGCCCAAATGATGCAGTGGCCAGAGTAGGATTCCTCAGCAAAAGAGGGGGAAGCTTCAGGGTGGAGAGTTTAAACATGCTGATGGGTGCTAGGGGTGACTGACTGTATTTGTGGCTGAGGAAACTGCTTTTAACAACACAAGTTATAGCTATGCTGCTGCTTCACGGGAGCTTCAGAGGCATTTCTTTTTCTGCCTTGTTTTCAGGGTCGTCCATCAGGAGATGCTTTTATTCAGATGAAATCTGCAGACCGAGCTTTTCTGGCTGCACAGAAGTGTCATAAGAAGACTATGAAGGACAGATATGTCGAAGTCTTTCAGTGTTCTGCTGAAGAGATGAACTTTGTATTAATGGGGGGCACTTTAAATCGAAATGGCTTGTCCCCACCACCATGTAAGTTACCATGTAAGTTTTGCATGGGTCTTGCCAATACTCTACGCTATGTGCGGGTAGGTGCTGGAGCGGCTTTCTTGACTCTGATTCTGGTTTTTGGAAAGGAGTGTCAGGTGGGGGTATTAAAATAATGTCTTCATCTTAAATCATCAGCAGCTTGCAATCATTATTTTTCCCTTTGGTTGTGAATTAAATTTAATTCCAAAGAATTTAAAATTATTCTTGCTTTTCCAGTGGCAAACTTCCCCTCCCCTCCCTGAAGCTTAACTTGGCCAGGGTGAGCCATGACTGTGGAAAGTAATCTGTAAGCCCTGCCTAGAGCTCAAAGAACAGTTTCCCATTTAAACTGATTTGTATTTACACTTCTCACCATGGTGAACATGTCAAGTAAAAGCCCTTCCCCTTTTACTTCTGAAACTTATTCTATTAAATAATTGATAATGCTTTTGTGGAAATTAACCACAGGTGTTCTGCTGTCGAACCCCTACTGACTGAACCCTTCCTTTGCTTGTTGTTGTTCATACAGAATTGAGGTTGCCTGTGAGGGAGTAAAATACACATAGCTTTGGCCTCAAAATTGCAGAAACTGTGTATTATGTAAACTTGAGCTACTAGGACGGACATGGACTTAAAATGTTTGTAGGAAATGCTCTGAGAGCTGAAGGGCAAACTTACTAAGCATGTATGCCATATAAATCTGAGCCTATGGGGAAAAATAATGCTTTGCTTCCAAGGTCATAAATGGCAAGGTAGTAAAGTAGGAGCTTTCTCTCTCTCTCTCTATGCAAATGTATTATTATTGTTGGTGGCTTTTTTAAGAAGTGTCCCCTAAATCCCAGTTAAAGCTGCCAATATGGCAACAAACTTCTTGGGTGTGGTTCCTTTTGAGTATGAGTAGACATTCAGCTAATCCTTAGGAAGTAAGTTTTCTAGGTAACTAGTTGCGTGGTGTTTTTTTTTTATGCAAGTACCCTTCTGAGCAAGGATCTGGAAAAGCTGTCACATGTAGGACGGGTTGAAAGCCTCTCCTGAGAGCTCCTAGGACAGGTATTTGGGCAGAGTCCCAAACTTTGGGAACTCTTAGGTGGTAGTGTTCCCATTTCCAACTACAAATGCCAGTGATGTATTCCTCAGATAAGCCCTTTCAGCCTTTGTGGCCTTATCCCACACAAAGCAGTGAGTTGCTGACTGTCACTTTAAAGTAAGCTTTTTTTCTTGTTCAGAGTTATCTAAAGTTTTTTGTGTTCACTTTCATGGCACTGTGGGGGGGAAAAGGGAAGAAAAGGAAGAGTGGCAGAAGAGGGGGGTGATCTCTGGTCAGTGAGAACTCATCTAGGACCTCACATCTTGTTGAAATACCACAAAGGGCACTTTTTTTAAAAAAAAAAAAAAAAACAAACAAAAACATAATAACACTTGAAACTGTAAAACCATGACTCTTCTTTCTCTGCTGTTAGTTAATTGAAGACAGGACCTGTTTAGGTGATAGGGAGTGTCAGGATTAAAAGGCGTCCTCTGCTCTGGGGAATGTTATGCAGATCCTTTAGCACAGAAGTTCCCTTCTTACAGTGGGGAAATCTTACAGTTCTTGATTGGAGACTTCATTAAAATCTGAGCCTAGACAAGAAAAACTGGCCTGCTTTTCAGAAAGAGACCCTCTTCCCAGAGCCAGAGGTAGCTTTTTGTGTATTACTGACTCTGCTTTTGACTGGGCAGGTGGGCACAGCACTTAGTCAAGCTCATGTTGGTGAAACAGGTTTATTTTCTGTGATGAGCAAGAGAATGAGATGCTTCTGAAGGCTTTTTTTCCTATTGCAGAGTTCTTTAGCTAATGAAGACCACACATATGCTGGAATTCAAAAAGTCCTAATGTATTTTCCATTTTTTCCCTTTAGGCCTTTCACCCCCTTCCTACTCCTTTCCGGCTCCTGCTGCAGTTGTGCCAACAGAAGCTGCTCTGTATCAGCCATCCGTGCTCCTGAACCCGCGAACGCTCCAGCCCTCCACGGCGTACTACCCTGCTGGGGCTCAGCTCTTCATGAACTACACGGCCTACTACCCCAGGTAAAGCAGAAGAGAAACCAAGCAGGAACAAAGAAGTCTTTCTTTTGCAGCAAATGCACAAAGCTCACAGAAGAACACTGCTGTACTAAAGTCTTGTTCTACCAAGAACAGCCTGTTTGATATCTTGTTCAGGGAAACAATTTCAGGATATCTAGGGATTTCCCAAGTTTTAGAGTATTTCAGGTAGTAATGATTTTTTTTTAAAACAACAATAAGTCACAACTACGGTGGGATTTTGTTGTTTTGTTTGGGGTTTTTGATGGGTTTTTTTACCTGACATGCCTCTTAAACTTGTTAGTTTGCAGTGTTGTGCCCCACTGGGAATTAATGTGTGCAGTATGCCTTCTCATGTCCATAAAGAAGCCCTTGACCCCTCTTTAGAACAGCAGGTGGATTAGGATGTGCCCTAACAACTTCTGAAATTCTGCCTCTCTTTTTGTAATAAAATAACTTTTTGACCTTTATGGTGAAAACTGTTTACTTATTTATAAAAATACTGCATTGAAGCATTTATGTATGGAGTGCATATTTAAAGCATAATAGAGGCATATATGTTCTTTCTGACCTCATAAACACCTCTCTCAAAGGGTGTTTGGCTCTTCAGAATATATTGGCTGTCTTCTGCAGAACAAAACTGCTACAGAACAGCATGATACCATTTGCCCTCTGCAGTCATGAGGCCATGGAAAGAGCCATGTTCACTGTAAGCCATAAACCATTCCTCATTTGTCAGGAAACCTGCTAAAGAAATCAAGTCTTCTATTAGATTCTGACCAGTGCTTTCTATCTCTGGAGAAGAGTCCAAATAGCTACTTATGAAGTTTTTGAGCAATATGGACTCTCTAGTACCTCTATGATAACAAAGGTTTTCTTACTCCTTTACATTAAATCAGTATGTCTGTGAGCTGCCTGTTGTGTGGTGTGTTTTTTTTATTATTAAAATGTTTTCTTCATTCATGATTTAACTTCTATGTCTTCAATGTCTCTTATGGTTACGACAATATGTTACCAAACTCAGCCTCTTTAATGTAAGATTAAGAAAAATAAAATTCCATACTTGCACTGGCAATATAAAACCAAGTTTCTCAATAATAGTTTTGTATGTCATGAGAGCACAGTAGCAGTAATAGTTTGTAGTGACCTTGATGTGTTGTACTAATTCATGTAATAATAGACTGGCCACTGCAGGCTAAGGGTCAGACCCTACAAAGATCTCCCACTGAAGGGGATCCCACATGGGTCCTATCATTGGCTGCTTGGGCTGTGGGCGTATATGTTGGTTACAGATTGATCAGTCCCAAGTACCAAGATACCCTTTTTGTGTTCTTGTCTGACAGTTGTGTAATATTCTTAAAGTGTATCTGTGTAGGTTCTGTGCCAATTACAAGTACTGCCCTCTTTAAAACAAAACAAAAAAAAACCAATAAAAAAACCACCCAAAACATATATTCTGGAGTCAGCTTGGTTTCTTTCCATTTTGAGAGCACTGGTGTTTGGGTATTGTTCTTCTAGCCACAGTAAGTGTTTGATCTACAGACAGGTTGTATATACTCCAATGGAATTAGTGATCCTTTTGTAGCTAATGCTTTGGTTTGGGTAGAGTGGTGTTTTTCTTCCTAAAAAAATTAAGCTCTATTGCTTTTTCAGGCAAGTTCCATAGCAATCAGAGCTCTCTTAAATGGAGTTCTGAAATTTCTTTCAAAAAATGTGAGGTATGTGCAGCAG